TTAAAGACAAGATTGACAATTTGACTTTCTAAATGACATATTTACCTTATTTTCTGCTATCAATTGACATTGTAACTGTCAAATTTGAGCATGTACCATCACAAGTAGATTTTAATGTCAAAAGTCACATTTGAATGACATCTTAATAATTAAATTTATAATTTGACATTCTAATTGATATGTCAACCTCAATTTTTGCTACCAATTGACGTTTTAACTGTCAAATTTGATCATTTTGCATCACAAGTAGATTTTAATGTCAAAAATGACGTTTGAATGACATCTTAAGGATTAAATTTACAATTTTGTTACAATTTAGCATTCTAAATGACATGTCAACCTCAATCTTTGTCACCAATTGAAGTTCTAACTGTCAAATTTTATTATTTTGCCTCACACGAAGATTTTAACATCAAAAGTGACATCTAAATGATAGCTTAAAGACAAAATTGACAATTTGACATTCTAAGTGACATATTTACCCTATTTTCTGCTACCAATCGACATTCTAACTGTCAAATTTGATCATTTCGCATCACAAGTAGATTTTAATGTCGAAAGTAACATCTAAATGATAATTCAAAGACAAGATTGACAATTTGACATTCTAAACGACATATTTACCTTATTTTTTGCTACCAATTGACATTGTAACTGTCAAATTTGAGCATGTACCATCACAAGTAGATTTTAATGTCAAAAGTCACATTTGAATGACATCTTAATAATTAAATTTATAATTTGACATTCTAATTGATATGTCAACCTCAATTTTTGCTACCAATTGACGTNTGGTAATAATTTTTTGAATGTCAAATTGAAATGTCAAATTAACCTCAAAATAGTTAGATTCAAGAATCATGTGGCTTAAAAATCGACGAAAAAAATACGTTAAATATAAAAGCAAAGTGAGTAGAACATACCGAAAAATCAAATTAAAGTTTCGATGTGACATGACGTCACAAGTAATGTTAACCATTGGTTTTCGTATTAAACCGATCAACACCTAACCTATAAATTGTTTATTTATAGCCAAGCACGAAATCAATTTGATAAATTTAAAAATAAAGTTATTTTCACTAAACTAAGTGAGATTACAACGTATATTTTTGGATGAAACACCTTGTTTTTCTTAGGTTTGTGATACATAAAACTACCTGTCGTTAGATGGACTATGTGTCAATAGACTCTGTGTTAATATTAGAACTAACACTAGACCTAGAACTAGACCTACAATGACAAAATATTGGAAACTTTATCTCTAAACGTCATTCAAATGTCACTTTTTACAAATTTGACAGTTAGAATATCAATTGGTAGCAAAAATTAAAAATTTGAAGAAAATTGTAAATTTAAACAAGATATTTAATGTCAAATTTGACGTTTTGTGTAATTTGATAAAGGTTAAGTTATAATTAATTAATATTCTAAATTCAAAATGACGTTTAAATGTCAAATCATCATTGGCTACGTTCATTTACAATTTATCACATTAATTGTTTTTATCAATTAACGTTCTAACTGTTAAATTTGATCATTTTGCATCACAAGTAGTTTTAATGGCAAAAATGACATTTAAATGACATCTTAAAGATTAAATTTACAATTTAGCATTCTAAATGACATGTCAACCTAAACCTTTGACACCAATTGAAGTTCTAACCGTCAAATTTGATCATTTTGCATCACAAGTAGTTTTAATGCCAAAAATGACATTTAAATGACATCTTAAAGATTAAATTTACAGTTTAGCATTCTAAATGACATGTCAACCTAAACCTTTGACATCAATTGAAGTTCTAACCGTCAAATTTGATTATTTTGCCTCACACGAAGATTTTAACGTCAAAGGTGACATCTAAATGATAGCTTAAAGACAAAATTGACAATTTGATATTCTAAATGACATATTTACCTTATTTTCTGCTACCAATTGACATTCTAACTGTCAAATTTGATCATTTCGCATCACAAGAAGATTTTAATGTCTAAAGTAACATCTAAATGATAATTCAAAGACAAGATTGACAATTTGACATACTAAATGACATATTTACCTTATTTTTTGCTACCAATTGACATTGTAACTGTCAAATTTGAGCATGTACCATCACAAGTAGATTTTAATGTCAAAAGTCATATTTGAATGACATCTTAATGATTAAATTTACAGTTTGACATTCTAATTGACAGGTCAACCACAATTTTTGCTACCAATTGACGTTTTAACTGTCAAATTTGATCATTTTGCACCACAAGTAGATTTTAATGTCAAAAATGACGTTTGAATGACATCTTAAAGATTAAATTTACAATTTTGTCACAATTTGGCATTCTAAATGACATGTCAACCTCAATCTTTGCCACCAATTGAAGTTCTAACTGTCAAATTTGATTATTTTGCCTCATACGAAGATTTTAATGTCAAAAGTGACATCTAAATGATAGCTTAAAGACAAGATTGACAAACTGACATTCTAAATGACATATTTACCTTATTTTTTGCTACCAATTGACATTGTAACTGTCAAACTTGGGCGAGTACCATTAGAAATAGATTTTAATGTCAAAAGTCACATTTGAATGACATCTTAATAATTAAATTTATAATTTGACATTCTAATTGATATGTCAACCTCAATTTTTGCTACCAATTGACGTTTTAACTGTCAAATTTGATCATTTTGCATCACAAGTAGATTTTAATGTCAAAAATGACGTTTGAATGACATCTTAAGGATTAAATTTACAATTTTGTTACAATTTAGCATTCTAAATGACATGTCAACCTCAATCTTTGTCACCAATTGAAGTTCTAACTGTCAAATTTTATTATTTTGCCTCACACGAAGATTTTAACATCAAAAGTGACATCTAAATGATAGCTTAAAGACAAAATTGACAATTTGACATTCTAAGTGACATATTTACCCTATTTTCTGCTACCAATCGACATTCTAACTGTCAAATTTGATCATTTCGCATCACAAGTAGATTTTAATGTCGAAAGTAACATCTAAATGATAATTCAAAGACAAGATTGACAATTTGACATACTAAATGACATATTTACCTTATTTTTTGCTACCAATTGACATTGTAACTGTCAAATTTGAGCATGTACCATCACAAGTAGATTTTAATGTCAAAAGTCACATTTGAATGANCTACCAATTGACGTTCTAACTGTCAAATTTGATCATTTTGCATCAGATTTAGATTTTAATATCAAAAGTGATGTTTGTATGACATCTTAAAGATTAAATTAACAATTTGGAATTCTAAATGACATGTCAACCTCAATCTTTGCCACCAATTGAAGTTCTAACTGTCAAATTTGATTATTTTGCCTCACACGAAGATTTTAACGTCAAAAGTGACATCTAAATGATAGCTTAAAGACAAAATTGACAACTTGATATTCTAAATGGCATATTTACCTTATTTTCTGCTACCAATTAACATTGTAACTGTCAAATTTGGGCATCTAACATCACAAGTAGATTTTAATTGATTCCAGAAAGTTCAGAATCAGTTCAAAGTATTTAGATAACTTTGAGGTTGGACTTTATTCTATTGCCATACTTACAATAGATTCTGGTCTTATTCAAAACTCCGTTTTGAAACATCCCAAACTTTTTAATTTGCATTATTACATCTTTTGGCAAATACTAAAACTTATCAGACTCAATTTTGAGTATTCACATAAAATTATGCAAGTTGGCAGGAAACGACGCAGTACATTTTAGGATGTGGTAACTGTTTCCAGAACGTTCAGAATCAATTCTAAGTGCTTGGACAACGTTGAGGTTGATGTTATTGAAAGCGGTATTTTGAAACAAATCACCTTTTCAGTGTATATTTCCCCATTCCATTTGCATTATTACATCTTTTCGCAAACACTAAAACTTATCAGAATCAGTTATAAGCGTTTAGAATCTCTTTCCAAGAGAAAAAAAATCTGGTCGTTGTAGTTCAATAATATTATAACAATAAATAAAAGAAATTAATCGATCGTAGTTGATTTAATTGATAAAATAACCAGTAGTATTGTAATCTCCAAGCACTTAGTAGTGTTTTGACAGCAGTGTATAGTCTTGTGAAAACATTAAATAGTCTTTGCCAATAATATCTAGCTTCTCCAAGCAGATTGTAATCTTTTCCACCATTATCTAGCATTTTGGAAACAGTAGGTACCTTTTTTGAAGAGCATATATCTTCTTTCCAAGTCGTTATTAATCTTTTCCAGCACCATCTAACATTCTGGTAGCAGTAGGTAACTTTTTGGAAAGCATATCTCTTTTCCAAACAATTATTAATGCCTTTGAAAATAATAAGTGGTCTTGGAAGCAGTATTCCACCTGTCCAAATAGGTCAAAACCTTTAAAAGCAGTGTTTAGCATTCTGGATGCAATATGTATTATTTTGAAAACAGTATCTAGTCTTTTCCAAGTAAGTTGTGGTCTTTTTTTGCAGTATTTAGCATTTTAGAAGCATTAGGTAACTTTTTGATGTAGTATTTCCTCTTTCCAAGAAGTTTTTAGTCTTTTACTAGCAGTATTTAATCTTCTGATAGCAATCATTAGTCTTTTGCCAACAGTATCTAGCATTCAAGAACCAATAAGTTAAAGAGATCGACGTGTCGATTTTTAAGCAACATGATGATTCTTGAATTATACTGAAATTGAATTCTTACAAATATAGACAAAAAGTTTCCTTGCAGTTGTGGTGGATACAATTCCGGTTGATCTGATGTGGTCTACTAATAATCCGAATGTGATGGCAGCAAAGAAATGGCCTATATGAGGAAGAGATGTTAAAACATCCTCCTAAAACAGGTAAATATCTAGAATAATTTAGTACAAGCTAAAAAGGGATTATTTCACATAATCTATTGAAAATCCATAAACTAATTTCAAGTATTTGGTTACTCCTAACATTAAAGTTGCGTCAGCCCATTGACTTCCAACAACGGCTATCCCACAAGCCCAAGCCGGTTTTGACAAGAGAAGTTTTTGCCAAGGTAATAAACGGTGCTCCTTAAAATATTTCATTAAAATTATTACTTTTTTTTGATACAAAACGAACATCTCTTATTGGTCTATTTGGGTTTAAAGTTTCCTCGACAAATCTCCACCAAAGAAAATACCACAAACAAGCTAATAAAGTCAAAATATAACTCAACCAATCTCTTCCCATCGTTCTAACCAATAAAGTTCCCAAAATTCCGACTATTGCATATCCCAAATTTACAGCGGTGTATGTTGACACAAAACCGCTAAGATGTTTTGATTTGAACCAAGTTACAGCTAACATATGGGCAGCTGGCCAAGTTGCACCCTTAAAAAAGAATACAAAACATAGATCAAATTTGAATTAAACGATTTAGTTATGTATAAAACCATAAAAATTCCTTGAACGATTCTTATCGCGACGTGATAAGGTGTTAGCCAAGCTGCTGGAACCATAACAGCCAAAACACTCGCTCCAAAAACTCCAGCTCCAAATAATCGTTCAGCACCGACTCTTGCGGCGATTCTACTAGCTGCTAAAGGCGAAATTAACGTTCCCCATAAAAAAGCTTCGCGTAGTACTGATTCAGTACGGTCAGTTCTTGTCATTGGAATCTGAAAATTTATAAGAAATAAAGTAAATAAAGTCTCGGTGTAATGATTAGTATGTAATATATTGTATAATATTGTATTATGACAATAAAGCTCAGAAACGATGAGTAGAGGAACAAATATCTGAAAGGACTAGAAGAAAAACTAACAGAGCTGGCCAAATTCTTCTTCTTGAATGGTGCTACAGCTCAAATCGAGCCTTGACCTCAATACTCCTCCAAGCATCTCACTCTCTTCTGGAATTTAAACATCCGGTAATAATCTCTTTAGACTGTGTGTGTCACAAAAAGCTCAATGTCACATTGAACGATGTCATGATCAGAAACTTGTAATTATTAGATCAAGAAGCTGGCCAAAGACGCAGCGAAAATGCTGCATATTGGACCCCAACCGACTATGGACTACAAAAAAGTCACTTAAAACAGGTAATTAGTATTTTGACACCTACTGACAGCAAGGTAAAAGTCCTTGGAGCAATACTAAGGTTTATCAAGGACTTATATTTGTCCTAAACATTTAGAGGGCTTAAGTTACAATAGATCTTATAGATCGCGGTGACGAGAAAATGTTTAAACAAGTCAAGACCCTTTCAGGGTTGTAGAATCAATGATAATGATGATGAAGTATGTTTGGTTGCATAACCTAAAATGTCAAATAAATTTTTAATAACCTTACTTCAATGTGAGGAATAGATCTTATAACATGAATCGTTGTATCATTTTCAACCGGTTGGCAATATCTTGTAATATAACTGGTATTTTCGACGTATTCAGCAAATTCATCCGGTGAATATGAAGATGTGCTGTTTGCTCTCAAAGCAACGGAAGCAGATTGCTCAACGATCCCGCATAAAACGAATCCGGTGATGATAAATATGCAAATTATTTGTCGCGAACTTATTTGATCTTAAAACAATGAGAAATAAATAAACTTATTATAATTTTTTTTGAATAATAAAGAATCTTACCGTTAACGGCCTTTGCAGCTAATTGAACTTGGACGCTACCCCTTTTAATTGTTGCCAACGTTCCGGACATTTCAGTTTTGAAAATAAACCGCAAATTCAAAGAGTAACATTTTAAACATTCGTCTTTGAACACTTTAACGACCGGTTGTTTAAAATTACCGTCAAAAGTGCCGGTTAAATTGAATAATACGTATCTTATTTCTTCCTCCTACACTTTGAAATTATTTTAAAAGTTTCGCGTTATTATCAAGAGATGTCGCTCCAAAAAATGAATAAATTTATTTTTTACTTTAATTAATTATATTGATTATATCAACAATTAAATATATCATTATTAATTAAGTTAAAATTATAAAAATTGTTACATTTTTATTATAAATTAAAATAAAGTGAATTGATAATTTATAATAGAGGTTTTTCTCAATAGATGTCGCAACGTTATTAATTGTTATTTAAGCACATTGTGGTTTTTTGAATTTTTCGTTAACTTTAATAGTGTTTTGTTGATTTTAATCGTGCGCGTTTTTTAACCCATCTTTGAGGATATGGTGGTGATAAATTAACAATTCAAAACGAGGTAAAACCGTTTAATTTTTTGTTTATGGTAACATAACCTCAAAAAACTTTGTTTCAGATCGATTTTATGCAGGAATAAGGTAAAAAATTACAATTTATTGAATTAAATCTAGCTTAATTTATTACATTTCCTATTTTTATTTCCTATTTCTTCCTCTTTCACTTTTAAATTATTTTAAAAGTTTTGCCTTATTATCAAGAGATGTCGCTCCAAAAAATGTATAAATTTAAATTTTACTTCAATTAATTATATCAATTATATTAACAATTAAATATATCATCATTAATTACGTTTAAATAAAAAAAATAGTTACATTTTTATTATAAATTAAAACAAATTAGAAAAATGAATTGACACTTTATAATAGAGGTCTTTCCCAATAGATGTCGCAACGTTATTAACTGTTATTTAAACACCTGTTGTGGTTTTTTGAATTTTTCGTTAACTTTAATAGTGTTTATGTTGATAAATAACCATGAATTCGAATCGTGCGCGTTTTTAACCCATCTTTGAGGATATGGTGGTGATAAATTACCAATTCAAGTCGAGGTAAAACCGTTTAATATTTTTGTTTATGGTAACATAACCTCAAAAAACTTTGTTTCAGATCGATTTTATGCAGGAATAAGGTAAAAAATTACAATTAATGAATGAAATCATACTTAATTTATTACATTTTTTACGTTTAACATCAATCACATAAATTATTATTATAACATTGATGTAAGTATAAAGTTTTAAAATAATCGGTTACATGTTGGAAACACAAATTAGAACGTTGTTTTAGGTAATCTAAGTACATGGGGTTTGTAAATTTGTTCTCTTTAAAGGTATCATTTAAGAATCGTTTAAATTCTTGTTGAAAGTATGTATTAATCAACTCCCAAACTGTAATTGTGTACCAAATCATGATTCCGATGAACACTATAATACGTAGCATTAACACAAACATCTTTAACTCCTAAAATACTCAATCCCTAAATAATAAAATCCTTTTAATTGGGGCCAAATCATTAAAAGTGTTACAAACACACTATTTGCTATGACAAAAAGCTTTAAATATTCACTTCCTGCCCCAGTTCTTAACCAATTTGCAAAACTTTCTTCAGTTTCAGAATCTAATTCGCTTTGTTTTAATTTTTTTGGGTTTAAACATTTTCTATTTCTTTTCATATTTTGAACCTAAAACCAAAGGGAATTATTTTAAATCGAATTTTCTTACCAATTTTATTAATACAACTTATATATCAGCATTGTTTTGTGGTGAAAAGATGTGAATTGACTGAATTTGATTTAAAAATAGGTTGTGATATTGATTAGCGATAAAAATCTCGTTAGTGGAAGCCGTTTAAGTTAAAACAAAGCGGTTTATTTAACGTTTATTACTTAAAAAAAGGAATTCTTTAGGTTTCTAAGAAAAATAAATTGAAAATGTCGCTATCTTTCATTTCGTGACGTCTAAATATAGGAAGAGGAAATAAAATAAAAGGGTTTATTGGCGAATTTTACGACATCTACATAAAAGGGAATCAGGATTTTCCGTTTTTTTTTATTACCCAACCGTGGCATGCCTAGATGGTCGTCGTTTTTAATTTTATAGACCCGTAAATATGCGTTAAAAATGTTAAAGCTTCACTATGAGAGAAAAGGTATAAATTGAACAATACCGAATCGAAACGGCAATTGGAAAAGGGCTTAAAATCCCGGATTTATTACCGTTCATTTTCAGCACGATAAATGTCACGAAAACTCTTAAAGTTTAAGAATAACTGGGTTAAAAGGTGCATTTTCTTTAGTTTCTATTGTATTTGTGCTTTTCGAATAGAATCCAGAAACGTAAATTTCCACTTTTTCTCTTTTTTAAGCCGTCATTGTAGAAGGGTTGTAATTAAAAGCTTTGTGTAATTAGAAACACTGAAATTAATCACTTGGTTAATATAAATTGAGAGAAAATTGGGTTAAAAATAATTTTTTTTATAAAAAAATTAATCGAAATGAAAAGAAATTTATAAAAACTTTCGAATCAATAATACCGATAAACGGGTTCAATTTATCACTGGGAATTCAGTGCAACTGTACCCGGAAGCTTTAATAAAAAGCGCATCAATTTATCGAAAGCTAGCAGACTGAGCTTTTTTTTTAAACGTTTTTGTTCGGGACACGTTCTGACGCAGGTTATAATTAATATTCATATCCCGAATATTGATTTTTCCCCAAAAAAATTATAACCGTTTCATTTTAATTTAACAATAATTATTTTAAATCATCCTGCAACTTTTTAACTAATCATAGGAACTATTTTGATCACTCTATTTTGTTGGTGACGCATTCACCAAAGCTCCGAGCTTTCCAAACTCATATGTCATAGTCCTCTAATCTCAAATCGAATGGCCCTTTATTGAAAGTCAATCGTTCGCTTTGTTAAAGTCTATCGTTAAAACCTTTTGCAGCTTTGCCAAAGAGGATTTACGAATTGTTTTCATTTGAAAACTGTCAAATATCAATTCGATCCAATATGATTTATTTTTATTATTATGAAAAGAATTTGTAACTCTTTGATCATGTTATGTGTGACATTATAAGAGTAGAAGATAAAAAGCTTTCCACCTAATATATATCCAGCATCCAAATCGTCCCATTTTGCGGTATTTTATGTGTCCCAAAACCTCGATAGATAGTCCCTATCTAACCACGCACAGCCGATCGCCACAATCTGGTTCACGAACACACATTAGTTTTCGCCATCAGTCTTCGCATTCGTTTTATTCGTGTCCTCGATCAATCCGAATGTGTGGCATAAACTGCGAGAGATGAAAATCGCGATCAAACCTCGAGTTCGCGTATCTCCCAGTCTCCCGTTAATATCCGCACTGGCAGATATTGCAAATCACCCAGGATTCAATCGGGTTCGGATCGTAATATCCTGCCGTGGAAATCATTCGTCGAAAATGACGGTGATAATGACTAGCTGTAATTATGTACTCGAAATCTAAAATCTTTTTAAATCTCCTTAAGTACGGTATTACCAGGAGTAGTTAAGATTAAAAATGATGAGATGATTAAGTAAGTCGGTTGAGATTACTACCGTTTTCATTTCCTCTTAAGTTTCGAAGTGAAATTTAACATCTAATGTAAAATTAAGTAAAACTGGAACTAATACTACGACTATAAAAATGATGTGTCAATATTATTTGAACTTAAATTCTTTGAACAACACCAAACTACAGTGGTAAAAGTTCAAACTGCTAATGGGTTAATATCTGTAGGAGCAGCGTATATACCACCGAGATATAATCTTAATAAATAAGATTATTGGGAAATTCTACATCTTGACAACAAATTTATACTTGGAGGAGACTTTAATGCAAAACATATGTTTTGGGGTTCTCACTTGACAAATACAAAAGGAAGAGAACTGATCCATGCAATAGAGGCCCTAAATTGTGAGATGCTCTCAACTGCGAAGCCAACTTACCGGCTTATATTGCTTAACTTCGTAAACATAGAAGAAGAGTTAGGGCTGGACTCAGATCACTCATCAGCAGTGTTGTTAAATACCCAGGTATTTATTTTCAAGAGTAAATTTCCTGGATATATACCCGGGGGTATTTACCCAAGATGGGTATTTAGAGGTATTTATAAAATTTAATTTAAATTGAATTGATGGCAGTTTTGCAAGCACTTCAACAATGCAGAGTCGATTATCGATATACCAAACTTATTTATAACATCTACAAGAATGCTACAATAACGGTAAAATTGTATGAAAGTACTGAAGAGAATAAAAGTAGTAAAGTACTGATTGTGACTAAAACAAGGTGAGACACCGTTGAACCCAAACTGTTCATCACAGTCGTCAGAGTACATTTAAACAACTGGATTGTACCCAAAAAGACATAAACATTGATTGCAAATGCTTAAGTAATTTGCGCTACGCGGACGATATAGTTCTTATATCGGATAGCCTTGGAGAGATTAAACTAATGCTGAACGACTTAAAGGAGGTGTGTGCAAGAGTCGGGCTCAATATCAACGAGGAGAAATCAAAATGTATGATAAATCTTGTTTCCAGCTCTAACATCAACATTGGGGATAATGAGATTGAGAGGGTTGACAGCTATATACAGCGTGTCCCGTATCTTCCGCATCAGAGCATTATACGGTTGTAGAATACATTATTCTGAAGCGATCTTTCTAATAAATTTTTTTCGAAATGTGTATTAACCGCACGGGAACTGTTTAAAATTCTCCGCTTTTGTCGGAGACGGACAACCGTATAATACTCTGATGCGGAAGATACGGGACACGCTGTATATCTTCACTGTGAGGTTCGTGTATGGAGAGATAATCAAACAACCGAACTAAACAGAAGGATCACATTCGTATGGGCAACCTAAGGGAAACTTAGAGACATATTGAAGAGAAAAAGCCAAGAAAGGCTTTCAATCAATGCGTGTTTCCGGTTATGACATAAGGCTCTAGCTCTGGGTCTAACTCTGAGGGACTACATACGAAATGAAGACCTATGAAGAAGAACTGTCGTAAATAATTTGGTCAACATTGTGGCAAAGCTTAAGTGAA